ATCCCTACCCCCAAGGGCTGTAGGGTGGGGCCCAATGGAGTCTGTGTGCTAAAATAAAATTTCTTCATTTTCGTTGTTTAGAATCAGAGGTGCTAGTTTCAAATACTTTTCAGTCTTAAATCTGCATGCTAGATATTGAATAAGGTGATTTTATTGTTTTTTGTCACTTTGAATAATATTTCTGTTCATGTTAAAAACAAAAATCAACTCTCTGTATAAATATATCAGGTGACCGTTAAGGCCCATGGGCCTCTTGTCATGAAGCTTATGATCACAAGAATTTTTGTGCATGAGAAAACTTAAGAATGTTGATTTTTTTAAACTTATGCAGGATTCAAATCTTTCAGTAAATGTACATACACCAGGCCTTTCACTCATGCTTGTTTCTTATGATACATTACATAGTCTTATAAATTACATGATTATTGCATGGAGACCAGATACATGTACAATACTAGTTTAGCACTAAACAAAATGGCTATAAAATGGCTTTTGTTTTCAGTAGACCTATGATATGTTTTTTATAATATTCTGCTCCACCTGTCATTTTCTGGGTGGTATTATATATCAATAGTTATTATTTTTTCATATTATTACCGACAAGTGATTGGCCACGAGTGCATCACGTGTCCACCGATAAAAACCGATATTGACTTGAAGCGCATGATTTTTGTTGAAGGACTGGATGTTTCTAAAAATAGAATTATGACGTACGTGTCTCCAAACAATGCACCGTCCCACTTCTTAAGCTTTTTTTTTTTTGCCAGATTGCTTACATTACCGTTTTGTAAAATAATAAAACAATTGTAGCCTTTCACTTCGGTCAATACCTGGATTTATCGAACTCAGCCAGAGGCTATAATTGATTATTATTTTTTCATATTATTCCCGACAAGTGATTGGCAAGGAGTGCATCACGTGTCCATCGACAAAAAACGATATTGACTTGGAGGGTGTGATTTTTGTTGAAGGACTGGGTGTTTCTAATAATAGAATTATGACATGTCTTCGAACGAGCGCATTGTCTCGCTTCCATAGATTTTTGCTGTGATATTTTTTCAGATTGCTAACATTACTGTTTTGAAAATAATAAAACAATTGTAGCCTTTGACTTCGGTCGATACCTGGATTTATTGACCCGAGAAAAGATATATTGACCTCGGACTGCGTCCCCTGTTAATATATCTTTTCTAAGGTCGATAAATCCAGGTATCGGCCTCAGCCAAAGGCTATAATTGAATAATATTATTACAAAGTGAACCACCAAATAGGTATTTTGGTACTACTCCCAATGATGAACAGAAGGTTGAAACAAGAAATTCATAATATTTTTTTAACAATACATTTGTAATATATACATGACAGGGAGACTTAAATGGATATTGGAATTACACCTCATTGAATAACAGTATATTGTGATGGCATGATATCCAAAGTACACTGACACATCAACACACCAGAATAATAGAATTCACATCATCTGAATACATGATGCAGTCCAATAATTAATCAAAATCATAATTCATATAAACTTTTCATGTGATTACCCCATGAAGTGTAACAGTACAGGCTTCTGAGAAAACACACATATTTGGTACATGGTCTATGACTAAACGGACATTTTTTTCCCAATCTCATCCGTGGGTCCGTTCCCCAATTAAATATCCATGATTATTTTAAACACGTTGTGGTATGTTTGCGTTACATTCTCAGGAATCTCTCTGAATTTGGCTCTTTGATCAATATTTGATATCAAATTTTCAGTTCAAATTTACTGTTTGTTTTTCAAAAATTAAAAGTCGGCACCAATACCAAAAGTCTGTAACAATTAATTGCAAGTCAGCTGTGCCCAAAATCTTTGACAGCTGTCATATTATTATGAGTAGTAAACCTATGGTGGAATTTGTAATGTAAATTTGTTTTAAATATAAACATATGGTAGTTATTAAATTTTTCTGAAACGAAGTATTTTTGGATTAATTTTAGGTTTTTGTAAGGCTTTTGTGGTGTTTTTAATATTGGGTAAATGGTGACTCGGACACTGACAGTCACACTGCTCCAGGCATGATAGATATGGGTAGGATGAAAAAATAATAAGAGTTAACTTTGCAAGCGTGACAGGTTTCCTACATAAACACATATACATAATAGAGTATATTTGTTAACCTTTGGCCTATTTCCATCACCATCTAATCGGAGTGCATCTGCAACTCCTTTCATTACAGTTGTCAAAACCACAGCAGACTCCATTCTCAACTTCGGGCATATCCGTCTTCGCTTCCGTATTACGGAAGCTATCGATTTGGTTTTAATTCTACTTTCATTATGAAAGTTGACAAAATAAATTCGCTTTCACTATCATTTATATAAGTCAATCACTATTTGGTTAAGTTATACAATAAAATAGAACAAATGACTCTGATTTTACATTTTTTTTATAAATCACATTTATCAACTTCCGTTTACGATGCGAGAGCGTGAAGCAAGATGGCGGACGAAGAGGAAATTCTGTTACAAGGAAAATCAATTGCCGGGCTACGTGTTGTTGATTTAAAGAAAGAATGCGACAAAAGAGGTCTTTCAAAAGCAGGAAGCAAGTCGCAATTAATCGAAAGGCTTAAAGCTGTACGTAAATGAAGCAGAATTCATGTTCAAACAAGTGGTTATTACAACATTATTCCAGATTCACAAAATACATAATACGTGCTTGTACAGTGGCTAACGTAAAGTCACAGCGTTTCTTTGAAAACAACGGGGCTGCTGAGCTGGTTGGCGACCAATTGAATTCTCGCCATGCCATGTTAAGAGTTGCCCTAGAAATAAACTTTTGTTCCCCTGTAAACGACACTTGCTGTCGAACCACTCCGCTTTTTTTACTATTATAAATCACTAAATCAGCGTTCCTCATTGTGGCTTGGTGGTAATTGGTCGCCAATAAGAATGCATTGGGGTGCCCACCCCGAATGGAGCATGTGCAATACATGTACTGTGATAAATAGACTTCTACTATGATATAGGTGTTAAAATAGTGTTTGTAGGCTAGTGCAGTGAGAAATAATAGCATCTGGATTTATGAATAATAATAGTCCACTAAAACTGACCTTAATGGCAGGCCCAAAATTTCTGATCGATTGACTGTTTATGGTTAGCTATCGACTGCCAATCAAAATTACATCCGGTTAATTTGATAAAATGTAAACATTAGTTACGCAATGAATTTTTAGCAGACACAAACTAATTAGCTCATTGAATTTATACATATTTATCACATTAATTAGTAATATCAAAATAACTCTGATATTCCCATCCCTTATAATTCAAAAACAACTTGGTTGCGCGGAAAAGGTAAACTGGTACACATGTTTTGTTGTCACCAAGTCGAATTAACAGAAGCAATTCTGATTGGCCAATACATATTGATGTATGCAAGATGGCTGTTAATATGAGCAGTAGAAAGCACCTCAATTGAATAAAACAATGTAGCGTCCATATTTTATCGAGCACAGACATGACATTTAGTCAAGTGAGTGAGAAATGAATCAACTGAAATAAAGGTATAAATATTTTCTCCAACAAACATGTAAAACGCTAACAGTCGCTGTCGTCAGATTTAGACGACAATCCCATGTTTTATAGAGCAGTTGATAGCTAACTAACAAACAGGCGACCAATCAGACTTTTTTCTGCGATTATGGTCAGTTTTAGAGGACTAGGATAATAGGATAGCTATTAAAACATGATGGTCTGAGTTTCATACATATGTCATATTACACAGACATTGTTAATGCAATGATTGTGTTTTTGCACAACACCTTTAAGACAATACCTGTTGTAAATTAATTTAATTATTGAATACATATAGTTGTGCAATAGAATGTAGGTTGATATATTAAACAAACATCAAAGAAATTGATTAATAAATTTGTAAGTTATTTTTAAAATAATATGTATCTCTTTTTGGTTTTTTTATAGCAACTTCTCTTGGAAAAATTGCAGCAGCAGCCAATAAATGAATCAGGTAATATAACTACACCATGTTGCAAGAATCTCCATAATTACTGTAGGAAACAAGTAGTACTTGCTATTTGATATTAAAAGGCTACAGATAGTTATACCTATATTGTCCCCTTGTATCCTCAATACCTGGATATAAACCATGTCTATTACATTACTTAATTGGTAATTTGACTTTTCCCATTCATACTTAAGAACAATATTGTGAAAAACCCTCTATAGAAAAAAATGATAATTTAATACATTATTGTTTTTGTTGACTTCTAGATGAAGCTCCAAACAGCAAGGTATGTGGGCTTTTTCAAATCGCATTTGTTACATCATTGTATTATTTAAAAAAAAAGTTGTTCCAAATAATGCTTGTATTAAAATATAAATAAATTTCTTAAATAAAGATTAAGTCTAAAAATCATGATCGGTTTCATCAGTCTTCACTCATGCTTGATGTACTCAGCAAAATTTTCCAATAAGGTTGCTGATCAATAATACAGCAGATAAATTAGATTTTATTCTTTCAGGACAGTTTAGTTGCTGTGGTTGTTCCACCTGAACTGGTGCAGGCAAAAACACATCCACAGAGTTCTTGTTGATGTGAAAACCAAAAATAAACGAACAATTGTCTCGCCCCAACTGAGAACAGTTAGACTAGTATTAACATAGGATGGTACTGAAGTACTAGTCTAGAAATGTTTATATTACCTGTTTGTTATTGTGGTGCTTATTTCCAGCTCAGGGAAGAAGGAGTTACTGGAAACAATGCATTTATAAAACAGTATCTGGAAAAGCAGCAGAAGCTACTTGTTGTGGAGAGAGAAGCCAGAAAGCGATTTTCAGGTATATACTTTATCTGACAAGTCCTGTCCACAAAACGAATACTCACAAGAACTAGTAAAGATTAGAGCTATAAAGATCTGAACTAACTCTTTCTGAGTACAAAAGATTTAGCAACCTAACTACAGTAGACAAAACTTGTGTTTGTGATGAAAATCTTAATTGATATCTTTAGAATAACACTTAATTTAGGCATGTATTTATTTTAAGATAAGGCATAACAGATTTCTAAAAGCTGAGAAAGATGATAAACCCAATTAATATTTTAGAGATATGTTCATAATACAAATTTGATGTAAGTTATGGGTTGAATTGTCTTTTCAGAAGAAGAATCGGAGAGTTCTCAGGATGAACGCCCCGGGGACAGTCCAAAGAAAATGCCTTCCCGAGAACCAAGTATTCCTGAGGAGAGCACACTCCCTGATCCACCCTCAAAGAAACATCAGATCAGTGCACCACTGCCAGCATCTCCACCACAGAGGGCTCCCCCTCCTCCACCAACACCTCCGCCCCCACATGCACAGGTAACATCAGTATTTTTATTTTCATGAATTTGGAGGAAATGAGCATCAAGTTAGTTGTGTAATAATAATAAAAAAAAATGTGTAATTGCAATATTTGTTGAAAAGAAATGTAGAACTTCTGCAGCCATTGTAACTATTGAAACTTCACTTGAATGAACAGTATATTATGTAGTTATGCACCAGCATTTTAATTTTAGATTACAACACTTTTTGAGGGAGTTACAGCCCTTTACGTGAGATAAGTTGTCCAGAAAACTCCATCTCAATCAATAGCAGATTTTATTGTAACTTCACTTGAATGATCTGTATATTATGTAGTTGTGCACTAGCTTTAATTGCATATTTCGACACTTTTTAAGAGGGTTTCAGCCCTTTAAGGAAAATAACTTGGCTGGAACACTCAATCTTAACTAACTGGCAGATTTTATTGAAACTTCACTTGATAATCGGTGTATTATTTTGATGTACACTGGCATTTTAATTGCATATTTCCACACTTTTTAAGGGGGTTACTTGCCTGGAAACCCCAAGGTCAAGGTCACTAAATGATGTATAAACTGCGATCATCTGTGGAGGGTATTAGTTTTCCTCCTGATGACAGTTCTAGTTAGAACTGATCCAGTGTCCATTGTTTGGATCTGTGCCTTTGTGATAATAATAACTTGAGGTTCTTGTATACCGCTTTATCACAACCTAGTTCGTAGGTCATCTCAAAGCAGTTCACTAATTATTATCCGTGGTTATAGGGCCTTTGCAACCAGCCAATACCTTTCTCAACTCCTTGGGGCGCATACAGCCGGAGCTGCCATTTCGGCGCTAACAGCTAGCATTCAACAATTCTGGCAATGCCCAACCACATACTCTTTTACAGCTGTGTAGACTAGAACAAGCGGAATAAATTATCTTGCTCAAAGATACAACACAGTGCCATGCCATGACTCGACCACGCAACCCTTCGGTCATGAGCCCGGCGTCCTACCACTAGACTACCGTGATCCATTATTATCATTTGTAGTGCTGTGTTCAACCGTTTTGACTTGTGTCTGTGTTAGCCATTGTTGAATCTGTGGTCCCGTGTTCAATCATTTAGACCCTACCTGTGGTCACAAGTTCTCATGTTTCCAAATTTAAGTGACACTGTTATGTTGTATAAACCTCTGTGAAATCAATACTTCTTAATATTTTATATCTTGTCAATAATTTAGATGGCGGATGGAGCGGGAGATTCAGAAACTGGCAAGCGGACAAGACGGAGGTCCAGCTTGAATGAGGAGGAGATGGCAGAACCAAAGGAAGCTGTAGAGGAACGAATCCCCAGGAAATCACGGCGTTGGAGGCGGGAACCTGAAGTGAAGGAGCCTGAACCAGAGAGGATGTCCCGCACCAGGAGGCAGTCCTCCCAGGAAGTGAAGGAAGCAGTGGAGGAAAAGGTAACATCAGAAACAGAAAAAAACGATGAGGAAAAAGTCCAGGAGGTTGTAGCTGTAGAACCTGAGATAAATTCAAAATCAGAGTCCCAAGTCAGCAGCTCACAAATGGTGGAGATTATAGCAGACCATCAAAAAGAAGAGAAAATCAATAAAACGGAACATGACAAAAGTAATAAAGCGCCAGCAGCACCGGAGGCCATGGAGGTAGAACAATCTGAGGCAGCTATGGAGGAAAAACAGACAGAAAATGTAACAGAATCCATCAAAGACACAAAATCGCCACAGAAGGAGATAGAGGTGGTGGAAAAGATACCAAAAGAGGAGGAAGTAGTGCCAGAAAAACGTGCAGGTACCAAAAAACGAGGCCACATTTTATGGTTCAGTTGATTTATTTCTTATTAGCTATTTTATTTTTTATTTTCTAGACATCCTTTTTTCAGATATAGGGATTTGTTTTGTTTACAAATGTAACTATTAGGCTGAACAGTTAAAGGTCATTGTAGATATTATTGTAACATGAGTAATTAGTACCAGGTAAGCTGTTTGAACCAATTGGCCTTTTGTTTTGTACTAAATTGTGAGAGAAATCCAATTGCTTTACTATCCAGCAACAGTAAACATGGAATGAATGATAAAAAAAATCTGAATTATTTCTAATAAATATGTTCGGTACAGTTGTTGTATGGGTTTGGGTGCAAAATTGATACGTTGGATAGGGCAGACAGACTATTGCCTGTTTGCTTAGCGCAACAATCTGAGCTGAAGGTTCCACAGAACCTGTGCTGCATGCAAACTCGGTCAACAACATTTTAACCCCCGAATTCTAAAAAATCCTTTATTGTCCTCTTTAAAACTCTGATAGATGTTGAAGCAATTGTTATTCTTGATATAACAAGAAGTTGCAATGATTAATTAATGACGTCCCTTAACAACTACAGAAATGGCAGGAAAATATTTCATCAAGTTTAGCAAATACACAATTGTCCTGGCTGATGTCTTTAAACTTAAATTGCTTGTACATTTTTTGTTATCGTAGTTTGATCTCCTGGTAGTGGAGTAAGTCAAACATTTTTTTAATTTTTAACAGAACACATAATTTAATGAATAATCTACCATTAAATTACATGCATAAACTTGCACTGTAAAATATTAAGCTTTAAGAAATACTTAAGGAAAAACTTTATATCCCCAGATGATGCGAGAGAAAAAACACATAACAAAAAAGAAAAGTCCAGAAGTAGATCATCATCAAGTTCTTCTAGTTCCAGTTCAAGGTCCAGATCAAAATCAGCAGAAAAACGTAAAAGGTCAAGGTCATCTTCACATTCTAAGTCAAGGTCAAGATCAAGAACACCAAAGAAATCAGCAGCAAGTAGAATCAGCCGAAAGCGTTCTTCTTCAAGGTTTGTAATAGTTCCTTTGTTAACTGTTTGCAGGACTGTCATTTACACCAGTCTGAATTTGCCTCAGTCAAATATTCATTTCTTGAAAAACCTAAAACAAGGTCGAGAAAAGATGTTTTTTAGCTAGTTTATCAATAACCTAGCAGATGACACTACTAGCTAATGGCAAGGTTTATGAGCAATGGTTCAAGAAATACATATTTGATTTTTGTACATGGCAGATGAAGACAGTTTATAATACATTAATAAATTTTGTTTTGTATTCCTTTGAATGGTTTATAGAATGAAGTATTAAGAGTGATGTCCCTTTCTTTATAAACGATCACAAAGCATATTTGCCCAACTGAGTAGCAATTAATTCTTATCAATGTAAACATGTGTCAATTTATTTTTATCAAAGGATAAAACAGAATTTTGCAATCACTTGTTTTCCATTATGTGCATTATTTATAATATTGTGATTTGACCAGGCTGCCATAAATGTCAGTCAGACATATATTTGCTTTCTTCAATTTTCTAGTTCATCAAGCAGCTCACGTTCAAGGTCACGTTCATCTTCTGAGTCAGACACTTCAGCTTCACCATCAAAACAGAAAGGAAGGTCACCATCTCCAAAGCTGAAGCAGAAGGCAAGATCACCTTCACCTTCAAAGCCGAAACAGACAGCAAGATCGCCATCGCCTCTAAAGGTGCAGGAGAGACGAAGGTCTTCTTCACCTTCACCTCCACCGAAGCCGAAGGAGAAATCTCCGGGGAGGTCAAATGATTCAAGTTCATTATCCCCTCAAAGATCAAGGCAAAAGACAAAGTCAGCCGCAAGTTCAAGGTCATCATCGTCATCTTCATCTTCTGGTAGTGACAGATCCCGGTCTCGTTCAAAGTCACCAGTGCAGAGTGACCACTCACCACCCAACTCTCCACAAACTTCCAGTCTGGCTAAAGCCACTCAGGTATTCTGCTCCTTTTATGCTTTTACCAGTAATGCTTGATTGAAAATGTTGTCAGAAAAGTAAAACAAAGTTTTATAAGTGTTTGGTTCTCATTTTACAAGATCCACTTCTGAAGCGACAAAGCTCATTTTATTTAAAGAGACATGTTAGGTTTCATAGATTGTTCTGAGTCTCATTGATTCCAGCCAAAATTTATGGCTCCCAGTTTTCTGTGAAAGTCTGCCAATTTAGAGCAGTCAGTTAATCTGTTAAATATTTCTGTTCAGTTCAGATGGCATTTGCTGGTCAACTGTATCTATCAGACTTTAATTAGTTATCTTTACTTAGAGTCGGGTGTAGGACTCGGATCCAACACAGTTGATTCTTACTATTTACAACCACCTTGGGCTGCTATGTTGAAACTTATGTGTGTTTTTTTCAACACCAAAGTAATGCATGGATATATAAACAGTATATGGAATTTCAGTAAATTGCTAAATTGAATTTTATAAAAAAATGTTTACTTATGCTGCAGCACTCTGTAACTATTGTCGATTTCGAATTGCCACTTTTCCTTTTGATTAAATATATTATATTTGTTGCGAAAAAGACAGCTATATCCACTTGACTATATCATTATAGGGTTCCAAGAAGGCAGAGGAGGAACAAATAGACGTGGAAACCCTAGTTGAGAAGAAAGAAGAAAGTTCAGCAGATCATGCGTATGGGTTCAGTTCCAAACTTGTTCTCTCTGTCTGTATCCCATAATAAGATTTCAGTATCAAAGTACTGCCAAGGATTTTTCATATTGAAGTTCTAAAGCTTTCTAAATGATAATTTTTTGTGCCATTAATGAACTATTTTGTGACAAGACTGCATCATAGTTACACTTCAGAGGCGATATGTCACATTTCTGTTTTCTGAATTCATTTTATGCTTTAAAATTTTCACTATTTTGGATAGTTGCCCAATTTAAAAGATCACAGATTTAAAAAAATTGTTTAACATTTTGATGACTTGGAATATTGTAGTGACACTCTGATTGTGACGGAGGATACCAGCGAGAAAGCACTCGATCATAAGGTATGTTCATGTCAGGTGGTTTCACATTTTACAGTCTTTGTCAGGGAAGGAGTTCTTGTGTCTTTTAAAAATATATAAAAAAATGGGTATCATACCTAGTATTAAAGTGGAATGGCAATGAATGCATGCAACTTTACTTTTCTTGTTTTCCTCTATACCTGACATATTTCTTTCTTTTTGATAAATGAGATATTCTTAAAAGAACAATAGGAAGATCATGTCAACAAAGTACACTTTTACTGTTTCAATCTTATTTCTTGTTCAGAGTTTGTTGTTACTTTATGTTCTGTAACTTGAAAAGGAATTACATTGATCTGATTGTTCAAAGTTTGTAGTTGCTTTATGTTTGTATCTTTGAAACATTAATTACTTCAATCTGATTGTTTATCTCATTAAAATGAACTTCACACTGTTTAATCTTCAAATTTATATAATCCTTGAAATGATTTTTAATTGAGTTTGCTGCCATTCCATCAAATAAAACATTTGTTAGGAATATAATTCTTGTCTTTGTATTTTAACGAAAAAGAAACCTATTTTCAGTGATTTTAAGAATAAACATTTCTGTTAAAAAAAGTGAGAAAAAATGTGAAAAAACATTATTTTGTTATCTATGAAATGAAATTTAAAAAGAAAATCAAAACAAAACTCCTTCTCTGAAAGAATTGATGTGGGTTTTTTCGCTGTACAAAATAGTATTATCAGAGGAACATGGCATGGGGCTGACTTAAAGCTGGTAACCTGTAAGATGACCGATGAGTTGCTGTACCAAGAGGTCACACCTTTGACCGTCCTTAAGGCTATACTTGCCTCAGTCCACCTGGCCTTGTCCCAAACCGTTGCCGGAAAAAGACATCAGTACACAGTTATTTGTGAAACATGGACTTGTCGCTTGTAAACATGCGACCCTTTATACATGAAATGAAGATGGATGTGGTCAGTATACACAAAGCTTACCATTGTGACAATAGAACAGATGAAGCAAAGATAGATTCTTTCAATTGCAAATCAGAAGAAACAAATGTGTGAATTTCCATCATGGATTACAGGACATTTGCTACATTTTCTCCATTTTCTCCATTTTGGATCACGGAACTTTTCCGTCATTGCAATCCGTGCATGAGCAGTATTATGCTACTGCTCTGGATTCCGTCACTTGTCGTAACCATGACAACAGGTTAACAGCTGTCATCAGTGAAGTCCAGCATCTGATACTTACAGAAATAAACAGTTGGAAACACAGAAATGAACAGTTGTAATCAAAATCATCATATGATGATAGCATTTCGAAATGTGATCTTAAGATACAAGACAAGGACTCATGAACCAAAACCAACTATCGTGCACATTGTCTTGTGTCTTCTCAAGATCAACAGCTTGTCTTAGAATTTGGGGCAGACAGAATCATGGATTATAAAAACAGCTTGATAATTGTGTTTCCCCAGGAATTCAGACTTCCATGAATGGAGAAATCTTCACAAAAAATATTTCAGGAACATTTCAGAAGTGTTTTGTTGTGAAGAATTTTAATGGATAGGATGTGGTTGGTCTGAAAAATGCCTGTCGTGTTTTAAACAGAACTTAGCAATGTAGCCAAGAGTCGTACTACAGTGTGAATGGACTTCTCAGTACATAATGCTCACAAGAATGTTACTACAAGCTGAATGCAGCAAGACGTGTTGGTGTTGGAAATGAAAGTTATTCACACAATGCCGAATCGTCAACGTTTCAGCTGAACAAACAACAAATGAAAGTGGTATTGCTTCCTAAGACTGAGAAAAATCTTGGACAATAGATGAAGGTTGTGTCCCATCAACTGTTAAACTGTAGCATCACACGTCCAGTGATTATTGTGTATTGTGCCACGTCAACGGATGGACAATGTGAACAAATTCACAAAGTAAAAGTTGAATCGCGTCATCAAATTGAATACAAATAGTCTCACAACTAGAAATCGTTGTGTGTGACAACAGACAGAGAAAAACTTTCACACAATAGCAGAAAGTTCTCATATCGCGGGACTTGCCCAAGGCATATACTACATTGAAGGCTCACAGCACTCCCCTTAGATTTTGACCCCCAGGCCATATGGCGATTAACTAGGTTATGCCGATTACCTCCCCTGGCTCCGAGAGGCCATGTCAAGTTGTCAACGTGAGAGATGTTTGTCAGCGTAGACCGAATCAACACCACAGCTCAGCCAGCCGGTATTTGCTCATTTGCCATGGTTCTCAGATTATTTATATCTATTGATTTAGCAGTGTTCCTGATGTTAATGTCTTAATCATGATCAGTACTCTTTATGTTTCAGCTTTTAATACCCTGGTTTTTAGGGCTCAAATTGTATTTTAATATTAATGAGAACATCAAGCAAGTGCTGTTGCATTTAAAACAAAACAAAAATATTGATCTTGAAATTTTCATGTAATAACATTGATAGAGAAAATATTTGAAGTTACAAGATTAGTTATTTTTTAGAATCACAGCTGTCCCAAAAAGACCAGGAGTGTTACAGTGTTATCAAATTTGCCAGTTCAATTTCTGAATATAGATATGGTATACCAGTGAGCCCCAATATCATCTTGTTTTTTAGAACTGAGCAGATTTGACTACAGCACTACTTGTATTTCAGCATTTGTGGAAACAGAAATTTCCAGCAGTCATATTAATATAAAGTGAATTATATATGTTTTTGGTAGTGATATCTCTGAGTATAATGCAGTGTATTATCATAAGTATTTCTTAAACGGTAAGTTGAGTTGTAATTCTTATATAGCTATAATTTTAAGCTTGGAAATGATTCCCAATTTTGTGTTCAGTTTCTGTTGGAAAGCAATATTCATAGTGATTTTATCTATAGATTATGAAAAAAATCCTACTAACAATGTCTTATAATATTAATCTTCAACAAAATCTTCCTCAACTTTAAAATGGATTTTATATGTACATTGCATAGTATATTTTACTACAGCAGGTATGGAAATTGGTCAGACTGAAAAATATCTATGAGTTTTCAAATGCTCTTTTTTTCACAAATGCATTGAACATATGTAAAACTAAAAATGCCGAAGTCTGAACAGAAAAAAATGTTTCCCCATCTTGCAAGAATGAATTTAAAGTAATAGAAATCAACAAAGGCAAGTTTTGCAGAGTATATTAGTTGAATTGGTGAGGATGTGAATAGTAAGGCAGAGAAAAAGTTTGGATATATCTACCATTTGAAAACACTTTTTGTAATAGTGTCTTGCAAAGAAATCTTCACAATGTAATATTTTTTGAGACTGAATCCTTTGTTTTAAATCCCTCACCTTCTTCTATTCCTTAATTTATACACTAACTTTATATGTATGTGTCCAGGTTTAAGGTTAGGTGACTTGTATTACTGATGTTGGTGATTGTAATCTTATGTTGGTCGATATATAACAGTGTTGGTCAGTATGACTGAAATTGACCATATTATTGTGTTTTAGGAGGAGGTCGGGGAACAGTCAGCCAGTCAGGATGTCAATCCAAAAAAGATTTCACTCACAGGTAAGCTTTAGTCCACTTGTTCGAAATGCTTCAAGCTTGAATCAGACAACCCACATTAAAATCATACATATAACAAAAATGTTTACACCAGCATCTTTACAGTTATTTCATCTGACTATTATAGTAATTTCTATAAACTATGCTTGCTCTTTATTCCAATCACATATATTGAAAACCATTCTTGACTTTCGCCATCTGACCAACAGGTCGAGAGTCCCGGGACAAAGAGGAGGAGAAGGGAGATGATGCCGAGAAAGAAAACAAGAAGGAGAAGCCAGTCCGTAAACGAAAATGGGGTTCAGCACGATCATCAACTGACGCCAAACCAGTTAAACGAATCTCAAACATCAACATCTCCACGGACTCGTTAAAGGTGTGTAGTTGTTATATCTAGGGTGTTACTACCTGAAGACACTCCAGAATATATCATATACAGTAAAACCTTGCTACACATTTTATCCTTCCTGTACAGAACAAGATTGGCATCACATTTTGGTTTGATGACATAATGAGGGATATTTATAAAGGAACAGTTTACAAAAAGACGAAATTTGTAAATATAGCAAGGTGGCAACAGCTGAAAGTTTGAAATGGTTAAAGTTTGGTGCACGTCAGTGTTCACCAGGTGCAATGACATCTGGTTACGTTCTGACACCTTGACATCCGTATAAGTCCTGTTACATTAATGTTGGCAAAATTATGAAGTCTAAAACAGATGGTAATCTGAAGTCATTTCGAGAGGTACATGGTGAAAACATATGCATTAGACAAACTGAAACTAGTTGTACCACATATAGTAACAGTATGAAACTAGGAAATTTTATATAATTTGGCTGTATAACTGCATCATTTCAGGCTCCATGTATTTTAAATATCGGGTTATTTTATCATAGCTTAACAACATGTATCGAACCTGGTTGGCTTTGGCTGTAAGACCACCACCTAATATCACTTTAAACACTGACATATCCTTAAATAATGATCTGGTGTGTTAACAGGAACTGATTCCAGATATAAAGATGACGGAACCCGTTCTTGACCTTGGGAATGATGACGAGAAAATATCAGACGAGGAGGAGGATCAGCGTGACGTGGTGAAGATCAGGCGGACAGTGGTCAGTTGCAAAATACATCACGGTATCAGTTGCTATTTTGTGGACTTGGATGCAATGATCCAGTCATGGTCTGATTGTGAGAAAGCTGTATTATTGGGACATTTGTACAATAGAAAGGGGGGAAAAATGGACAATTGTGTCCCAAAACTCACAGGATTGTGGGCACAACTGGATTAGTAGTGGATGGATTATAGAGGTTCCACTCTACATATAGGTCATTATTGGGTCCTAAGAGGTTAAGCCTGACCACATGAAAAAATCTAAATCCTTTATACCTTCTGCTGAAGTGTGACAAATGATATTGATTTTGGCCTGATCCTTTCCGAGACGTATNGGGGGGGGATGTGTGCCATTATCACCGAAAATGTATTTTATCTAACTGTCCTTGTCCACCACTTCATATTTCAACAATCTTTTTAGACCCGACTTCAAATCAAAGGGCCTCCCTGACCTGCCTCCAATATATTCACATCTGGAATAGATCTCTGCTTAAATGTCTATAGTGTCACCTCAGGTGTGTCACTACAGGTGAAGCTGTGTACTACATGGTATAGATGCTGAGAAGACGACAGTCTTTGATATCCTGAGAGTGTAACAAGGAATTTTACCTGTAATTGTAGATCAAGACATACAAATATTGAAGATATGAAAATTCACATTAATAGGTGATGAAGGATCAGGAAGAAGAAACAGAGGAAAGGAAGGAAGAAGAGGACGATGAGAGGATTAACGTCAAAATGGAGGTGAAGCAAGAGAAGGAAGAGGAGGAATCTGGCAGCTCGGCAGAAGAGGAAGAAAGGGAACAAACAACGGTTACCCCTAAAAAGGATATAACACCTGTGAAAGGTTTGTCCCTCATTGTCAATGTGCATATCATGTTATTTGACCAGCTGTAGTTGTCCAGACTAATGGTGAAAGGGTGTATTGCAGCAATGTCGTGGTTGATGAAAGTTCGGATAAGTCAATATCATGAATTTGCTATTAGAAAAAAATTGGAAATGGTTCCATAAAATTTCTTAATTTGAAAACATGTCCAGTTTATCAGACAGGACAAATTGTTAATTTTAACCAAGTAAATTACAAAATCAATTACATACATGTATGATTTATTTTTATTTTACAGAGCCGAAAATCATTCGACGAATCAGTCAGCCTGTCCCATTGCAGGAAATTGATGAACCAATCGCACCCCAACGTTCGCAATCTCCTGCTCGTAACCCTGTCAGCAAAATTATCCATGTACGAAATCTTGTCAGACCTTTCACCCTTAACCAATTGAAAGACCTTCTGAGGAGGACGGGAAATATAGTTGAAAACGAATTCTGGATTGACAAGATCAAATCTCACTGCTTCGTCACGGTAAATATTTTGTTTACATTAAACCTGTAAATATGTCAAGGGAAACATCAATGAACACTACAGTGATGTTGTGGACTGGCATATGTCATGTTTTAAGTGAGTTCGGGTACTTGAGTATATTTAACAACTTGAAACGTTTAGTTAGGTACTACAATTTGGGATTTTATGTTGATTGAAAGTTTTATTTAAGTTCTGGGACATGTTTCATTGGGTGTACTAATATTTTGGTTACACAGTGATCTTGAATGTAAATTTAATTTAATTTTTCATGGTATACATTGTGATTTTCAGAAAATTAATGGAAAATTTTAATATTTTTAGTCACCCCATCGGGGACTATTAATTTCGGTTTCAGTCCCAGATTTTGACATCTGTTGCCTATCACGCTGAAGAGCTTTCGTGTGATTGCTTCTGTTGGAATATGCCAGGTGCTAATTACAAGCTCTTGGATAACTTGGATATAGATTTCCTTTTCAAACAGGAATAACATAAAACCTAAAGGCGTTTCAAAATTTCACACAGGAATTGCATATAACCTAAAGATGTTCCGAGTATGAATCAAGCACCTTTGAGGTTCCTGAAGGGGAAGACTGCCAATTATGGATTGCTGTTGATTTATTTAGATATTTTATGTCTGACCATCGACTATCGTAAATTTTCACGAATAGTGTGCACTTTTTTAAGGAAAAATGAAAGTGTCAATAACGGGGTGCGCGGATACTGAAGAACAATCCAAAACCAGTCCTTGGTCGCGACCATTTGATTTATCATGATTTTTTTAGGGGATTTTCGTAAATGTTTTGAAATATGCTCGCAGCAATAAACTGTGAAAGGACAATGTATGGTTTGGGCCTTTTTTGGCCCCCAAATCCATCAAAATTAAAAATCTGCAATAGAACTTTCAAACGAATGTTCCTTTAATTTTGAATACTTCCCTAGTACTATTATATAAATTTTATTTGTGTTTTCAATTTTGGCTGCCATGGTTACCAGGTCATATTTGCATAAATTATTGAAATTTGATTATTTAGTCAATTTTGACAGGTTTTCACCTGGTCTTTCTCTTAGCTACCATAGCACTCTTGAACAAACTTTATGTTTCTCCTAAAGATGTATTACAGGTGCTTACACATTATCCTTTGATAATAAGTTTATTCAAGCATGCGCTCTATAGATTCTAGGAGAAAAACCATGCATAATATCACACTTTTCACTGAATATGTTTTTTTTTAATTTATGCAAATTTGAACTTGTTACCATGGCAACAATAATTAGAAATATAAATAAATATTTTCATAATAGTATTTGGGAAGTATTCGAAATTAAAGAAACTCATTTTGAAGTTCGTTGAAAGGTTTTTGAATTTTGATGCATTTCAAAACAGGCTCAAACCATACATAGTCCTTTCGTTGAAAAACTCCTGATTGCATTGTCTATTTAACCAATACGAAAAAATGCAAGTTTAAGTCATATTATACGATAGAATTGGATAAATAAACTCTAGTAAAGTAGGCCCAACTTTCAGGATACGATACCATGTATGGGGAAACATAACGAAGAATTGCATCATTATAAGCACTCTGGGGTTAAAATGCCGTTCCTGGGTAAAATCATGCTGAAATATTTAATCTTGACAGTAGGAGAATGTGTCAAAACGACATGGGGGGAAAGTGGCGAAGTTTGTATATTGCAAAGAGTCAAGGTTATGTGATACTATTTACCAGCAGGAACTCACAAAGTCACATACATGCAAATTGAACCGATAATAATAAAAGAGTTTGAAAAATAAATATTAACAGGCCCAAAACAGCCAAATACATTCAAATCTTTTCTTTTCATAGAAGAATTGATGAAATCACAATTGTTTTGTGTTTTTCAAGTCTCGAGAATTAGGCTGTTGGCGGTCCTCGTCTGACCTGTTTGAGTGACTGCCTTTTACAAAGCGAACAAACTCTGTCAATAGGCCTATTGATGTCCGATTCAGTCAGATTTGCAGACGATTAGAAAACTTCTTTGAATCGTGTATTTTATTAAAAAAGTGAAAGATTTATCCATATATAAGATTGAATCTTTTCTGAAAGTTATTGTTGTGAAAACAACATCGTTTTATTACAATAACCTGTTCTGCCCATGCCAGGTGACAACAGATATTTGCCACATGCTTTCTTATTGATTCCATGTGTTGGCATGGTTACCTAAACAGCGTGTATGTATATACACCTGTCACTGTTAGACCATTTTGGTTGACAGGTGGAAATATGTCAGTTGTAGCTTGGTCAATGATTTATTATACTGAAAATGATCATATACAAATGTAGGAGATGGGGTGACTTTCAAATCATTTTGACATATTTCTAGTTTTAAGCCCACCATCATCTGATTTGGGAATACGATAGTGAAGGTTTGTAAGCGCTATTTCTCAAGTACCAGAGGGATCTTTCTCAAATTTTATATGTAGGTTCCCCTTGGTCCCTAGTTGAGCAGGGCAACTTGATCGGATAAACAACATGGCCGACAAGCAGCCATCTAGGATTTTGATAGTGAAGGTTGTTATCGCTATTTCTCAGGAAGTACCATAGGGATCTTTCTCTGAAATTATTGTGTTGCTGAACTGTCCATCTATAATTGTTATTAAATTATGGTTGTAATTATATTTTTGTGTTGTTTCAGTATGAGACCGAAGAAAATGCTGTTCAGACAAGAAAGGCTCTACACAATACAAAATGGCCATCTTCCAACCCTAAATTATTGTGGCTAGAGTTTGCCTCCCCTGAAGAGGTTGGTTTTACTTGTTAATTCACAAATTAAATCAAACTTACACTAATGTTCTGTTTATTGAAATATTTTTTATCAGATAATTTCTCTATTTGAACAGCATAATTATCATTGATTTCCTCATAAATTTGAACACTTAGATATAACTATAAACTTTCTGACTTTGATAAATAAAAAATAATTTTAGATTGAGTTCAACAAGCAGAAAGAACAAGGACCAAAAGCAGCAGTTCGAAGAGATAGCCAACAGGAAATGAAGGAAAAGAGGGAGAAAGAGCGAGAGAAGAGGGAGAAAGAGGCACAGAAGAAAAGGGATGAACCCAAACCACCGCCAGTTCGGGAGTGGGACAGGGACAAGATTCGCCAGTCGAGGGAAAGGGAGCTAGGACCAACAGGAAAGAGGCGGTCAAGGTCTCCATCTCTGGGACGGTCTCGACGGGGCCGGGAACGCAGCAGGGACAAGGAAAGGAGGGAAAAGAAAGGTGAGAAGAATCCAAACTTCATGTTTTCAATATTTCTGGACTTATGCTGGAAAATTAACTTTTTTAACAGCTTTAAGTTGCTACAGAGGTTTGATAAGTTAGCGTAATTCAACCCTGCTAATCTTTCTCTCGAAAGTGCCAGTGTTGAATCTACCATACAATTGGTGGCTATACTTTCTGCAAGTGTCTGTTTATTGCCATATTGAACTACCTGGTATGCACTATTATATAAGTGCATATATGAAAATAGAAAAAAAATTCTTGCTTTTCAATTAGTGCATGTGTCAAGTAAAATGCTTCATTATTCCTATGGAAAAGTTGATCTCCTGTCTGACTGATGTTTGTTATCTGTAATGGTTCCTCCTTTTCAGCTGTACCAGATAAGAAAGTGGAAGATGAGCCTCCAGCTAAACTGTTGGATGACCTGTTCAAGAAAACCAAGACTACTCCCTGTATATACTGGCTTCCACTGACAGATGCACAGGTTTGTCAACACTAGCTGATATATCAGATATAATTTCATGTCTCAGCAACCACAAATACCACTAAGGAAAAGAAATGGTACTACATTTGTAATGTGTTATTGTTTAGGTCCTTCAAGGGGAAAAAATACGTCTCCATGCTCTCTGCCTTCAAATTTTTATTTTTGAAATAGCCCTTACTATAAAAGTAATGGTGCACAAATTGTCATTTTCCATACGGATATTTAGATAATCAGCTCTAAAGGAAAGATGACATAAAAGTGTTAAAGAATCTTTTAGTGTCAGATATTTTCAGCAAAAGACATAGGCAGCGAGGCATTTACAATTGTATAAGTTTCATGCATAACAAATTGTGTTGTACAGGCGGAGCTGAGGGAGAAGGAGAGACTCGAGCGGGTAGCCTTGAGGGAGAAGATACGTGCCAGGGAATCTCCTGGAGACAATAGACCTCCAATGCGTGAACGGGGGAACAGACCAGACCGACCAGACATGGACAGGCGCAGACCAGTATGTTTGATATAGATTATGTACTGCAATAAGAATGTGAAAATCAATAATGTGCCCTTGTATAATTTGTGTAAAATCGTTCCATGCTATGGTACAATTAAATTGGGAAGTATCTTATTTAAGGAAATTGTGAAATATCTAATTTAGGGAAATTGTGAAATATCTAATTTAAGGATACAAATGGATAGAGAGTGAAGGTGAAGATTTTGCTTTAGAAATATTCACTTTTCATTTGTTTTTGGAAGAAAATGTAATAGAACTTAAGTTATTACTAGATTGTCATGGGGGCATACCTGTATATTAAGGGAAAACTGTAATGTAAATGTTAAGTTATAACTAACAGGTGATTTCAGTTTCCTATACATGAAGTAACATGAACAAAGTTCAGACTAGAATTGTTAGTTTCATTTTGATGTTAAATCAGTGTTTGTTTTTTTACAGCCGTCGCCTTACAGACGCCCCAGTCCACCACGGCGAGGAGGCCCTGAGCAGGACTCATTCAGAGATCGAAGTGGTCCTCGGCGTCCTGATCGAGGTGGACCACCACGAGGAGCGCCTCGTAGTCGTAGCAAAAGTCCACGACGGCGTAGATGATAGATACATCACTTAAGAGGGGAGGGGAAGTATAGTCAAGTATATCACTAAGAGGAGAGTTGGGAGAGGGGGATATCGTATAGGTTAGGCATGATAAAAAGTACTTCAGTTTCCTGAATCCTAGTGTAATCTAGTTTTAACTGTCGACCCAACAATCTTTTCTTCTTTTGAATTGAAAGATACAAAAATTGCATTTTACTGGATAAACAGTTGTGTTTTAATTGTTTCATTATAAAACAGAATTAATATCCATGTTTTTAAAAATCTTTTGATAATAAATGATTTTCCAAAAAACAAAATGAAATATTAAAAAAAATCAAAAAATCTACATGCACTACTTTTGGGAGAGATGAAACAGGAAACATACTTACTATTTTACCTAGCCTTAGTTATGTTAATTTATGTTAATCGGGCATTAATTGATGTTTAACCATTAATTTTAATGAAATGTTCAGGGAGCTGAAGATTTTATCAGGAATTAACATAGACCAAGATTGGGTGTTTGGGATCGGAGGGGGGGGGGGGGGGGGGACAGTTTTGATGGAATTTATGAATTGTACATTAAATATTAGAAAAGTATTAATTATGTACAATGAATAAAAAGAATATATGATATTTTGAGAGAGGAATTTAGACTTTGATGTTTTCCATTCAATGATTGACATAATGAGGGGTTTGATATCTTATTATTTACTAGAAACATTTTTTATGGTGTGAAACGGCAAAGTTGCAAGTTTTTAATCCATAAATAGTTGCTTTCACAAACATTATTGGACCCCACTGCTCGAGTCTGTTTAGATTATCAGAGGCAGTACTGTCCTCTAAACTAAGGGTCTTGAATTTTCTTTTAAAACTTACAATTGCTTGGTAATAAATGTGAGTCATTCGAGTTAGATGTTTTCAACACAGGTTTTAATGTAGATCATTATTTAAGTCTTTTAGATAGAAAACTGTGGTTGCGTTTTCTCTTTTATATCTTATTTTGTCTGACTCTCCACATTTTGAGAGTTATTATTTTGTGTTTTAAACATTGATGTTCTCGTGTTTGTTAATTCTGTAAATATAAATTTTATGATACTGTATGTCCGTCAGTCTGACGTTGTGGTCATGTAAAACTCATTTTGTCGGTGACAAAATAAAATCCACTGATATTCCTCAGGCTTGTTCTTTTATCATTGCAATTACCGTTAAGCAAATGATATTCATCAAGATTTATTTACCCAGTTGTGATTAATATGACTTGCATGCAAGAGATATAACAGATTCCCCAGTGAGTGGTGGTTTGCTATGTGGTATTTATATTAATCTAGCTGTAGTTCGTTAATTTGCAAATTGTATAAAGACATCAGGTTCATGGAGCGACTCTTCGCAATAAGAAAATTAACTCAAAGTTAGATAAATAAGAACCATTGTTTCTACCAGAACATTTATAATTTGTCAGGGAATCAGTATTCTATGAAAGAGTCCACTCTCTGACTGGCAAGAATTATCAGAAACTGTGTTGTAGCATTACACCATTATTTGAAGCATGGAGTCGCAGTAATTTGGAGTAAAATTTCAACCGATCAAAATGCTGCGTGTGGTAGAAAGCAAGTTATAATTTCCACTGCTGTTAATTACAATAGTTGGGTGAAGTGAATCAGACCTGTCCCCTACTGGTGCTTACATGTAGGGGGTGGTGAGACGTGTAGGCGTTATGGTAGACATTATTCCGAGTGCTGTCCATTACACTGGTAAGGAATGGTGAAACACACATTATGGAAACACAAGCTACTGTATTTTATCACAGATTCCCCACTTTTGAAGATGTATTAGTATTCAGGGAATCAATTTATCTTTTTAAAAGTTGCATAAGAATTCTTGTGGTCAGCTTTAATCCAGACAAGTTTCAAGCACAAATTACAACAAAACAGTCGTGATCAGGAAAAAGTTGTTACGAACAGTAATGATCAGTGAGCAGTTTAACAACGATAAAGATAATATATTTAGTATGCAACAGACGAGACAAAAGTGTAGGCTCTGTTTGCATCATCTTTAAGCAATACTGTTAGATTGATAATAGATCTTTAGATACACATCAAAGAATCCTGTGGTAGCGTAATGGTAGAATCGACTGGCTTTAAAGTCGGGTGCTGCTCCTCTGTAATGTTTAAAAAACAATTATCAGTCTAGCGGTTGGTGGATTTTTTCATACATGAAACCAAATAATTCACAACATTCCAAAGGCTAAGAGAAGGTGTGTGTTTCAACAATACCGTAGTTTTATCTCAAACGCTATAAAATTTCAGCAATATGTAAATGCAGGTAAGATTTGAATGGAAACCTTTGAAAAAGTACAAGGAGACTAACATCAGGACCCATATTCATGAAACCGTTCCCATGCTCAAGCATGGATTCTGTGCTCAAAGTAGCTTTCTTGTAACTCACTTAAATCATGTGAAACAATCAAGTAAATCGTAAATATTGAAAAAAGTATTCAGCTTTAAGTCTCTTCATTTTTAGCTCACCTGCCCAAAGGGCAAGTGAGCTTATGCCATGGTGCAGCGTCTGTCGTCCATGGTCCATCTGTCGGGTGTCAACATTTTACTTTAAACAACCTCTTCTCAGTAACCAAAGGGCCTATGATGATGATATTTGGCCAGTAGCATGCTGGGATGAAGGGCTACCAAGTTTGTTCAAATGAATGACCTTCATCCATTTTCAAGGTCACAGGGGTCAAATATGTTAAAATCTTTTAACAACTTCTGAATAACCAAGAGGCCTTGGGTGATGAAATTATGCCAGTAACATGCTGTGATATAGGGCTTCCAAGTTTGTCCAAATTAATGGCCTTGACATATATTTAAAACATTTAAACAACTTCTTCTAAATAACCAAGAGGCCTAGGGTGATGATATTTGGCCAGTAACATGCTGTGATAAGGGGCTACCAAGTTTATTCAAATGAACGACCTTGACTTATATTCAAGGTCACAGGGGTCAAATATGTTTAAAACCGTTTCACAACTTCTTGTGAATAAACAAGAGGCCTAGGGTGATGATATTTGGCCTGTAGCATGCTGGGATAAAGGGTTACCAAGTCTGTTCAAATGAATGACCTTGACTTTTATTCAAAGGTCACAGGGATCAAATATGTTTAAAACCTTAACACACTTCCTTCTGAATAATCAGGAGGCCTAGGGCAATGATATTTGGCCAGTAACATGCTGGGATAAAGAACTACCAAGTTTGTTCCAATGAATGACCTAAACCTATATTCAAGGTCACAGGGGTCACATATGTTTAAAACCTTTCAACAATTTCTTCTGATATTTGGCCAGTTACAAGCAGGGATAAAGGGCTACCAAGTTTGTTCAAATAAAAGACCTTGAATTATATTCAAGGTCACAGGGATGAAATGAAACTTGTAAACAACTTCTTTATAACCAAAAGGACCAGGGTGATGATATTTTGCCAGTAATATGCTGGGGATGAAGGGTTACCAAGTTTGTTCAAATTAATTACCGTCACCTATTTGCAAGGTCACAGGGGTCAAATATGTAGTAATCTTTAAACAACTAAAATCTATTTTAAGGTCCAGGCTAATAATGATATTTGGCCAGAAGCATGCTGGTATGAAAGACTATAAAGTAACTTTATGTCCTTATTTCAAAGCATATGTCTCCCACGTTTAAATCTTTTATTAGATTTTTTGTAATCAAACACTGGTATTTTGCCTGTAGCTGTATTTTAGTCCACTTTTAAGATTACAAGTGTAAGATTAATACCAGGTGAGCGATTCAGGCCCATTGGGCCTATTGTTTCTAAAGCATGGACAAAATCAGATTCTTGAGTGTTATTGTACAACCGGAACAAGAAATTAGGCAAGAGCACAAAAACATGCTTGAGCATTGGAACGGTTTTATGACTTCGGGCCCAGGTCCGGAAAGGTACGTGTCTTATGTTCATCGATGATACCCTCCATGTAAAACAGCGAGAAACAGGATCGTGATAACAAGACACTCATAAGTATAGTAAAAACATAAATCTTCATATTGCACCAAGAAATGACAATGAGATGGAGATGGCACCTATAAAACTTATCCATAGTCTAAATCAATCTGCATCTTTGGAAACCATATTCCAACACCATACCGGTAAACTCTGGAAGGCTGAACGAGATCGGAATCGGTCTCTGACATACATGGTTTTTAAGAATGCAGAGCAGTTTTGATGCAAGCCAACTACAAGAATACTTGAAGCAGCAAGCAAATGGGATAAGGTTTAACTTGTGAAATTTCATTCAGAGAAAAATGTACCATACCTCATTAATTTCACCAAAACAAATCAATATATATACACTCTGTGATTACGTATCAGAACTAGTTCAGTTAGGACTTGCATTACAACACAACCTGAAATGGTATGATATGAACAGCACCAGGACAACTCTGCGGAATAAGAAAACTTCAATGTTGGTAGACGTTCAGACTGGTTGATGGAATTTCAGTTACAGAAGTGCTGCGGATCCACTCCAGGTATAACGGTGATATCATCATATGTAGTATTCAAATTTGGGATATCATCTAATGGGATTAAAAAGTAAAACGCTGGTATCAGTGATTTGAATGAGTGTCGTATCACCTGTTCAAATGGTATGATCATTTTGGCGTCGTGTTAATGTTAATTTGAGAAACGTCATAATATATTCAGGAAAACATCATTATGAATGAATTATCTCACTACAATATAAAGTGACATGATCAATTCATCATAGAGATATCACTGATAGTATTATCACCTACTCATTAAATAATAACAGGAGTTAACGGCATTTTTTCAATGTATGAAAGCAAATCGGCTTGAACCTTTAAAAAACATTGTCCATTACATATATGTACGTTCAACATTTTATAGTTATCATCTATCTAAATATAGGTATTCCCTTTTATATTCAATATTGAATTGTCTGTGTCTCAGTGCAAACGAACACAATGTCCAACGTCTAGCCTAATGTTTGCTTCCAACGGATGTCTCACGTTATTCGAGGTGGGAAAAGAAACTTCAAAATGACTGTGATGATCAAATGCTTTCATAGCCATATGAACGCGACTTCTTAGTGAATGCTTATATAGGAACTTGCTGTGGAAGTGTAAATATACCCAAAGAAATTAGAACAACAAAAAACCAGCTAATCCCTCATTCTCTTATATATAAAAAAAAAAAAAAAAAAAGGGGGGGGGGGGGGGGAGGGGGCACAACATAGAAGCATGCAGAATGGCTTTATTTCAATCTTTTATTCTGTCTGATTTTAATTATTGCCATCTGGCCTGGGCACTTCTCCAGTAAAAACAGTACATCAAAAATAGAAAAATACAGGAACGAGCCTTACGTTTTGTGGTAGATGACTACACTACCCCGTTGCATAATGTTTTAATGAACTGTAAGTTGTATTATTTACATGTAAGGCGTATTAAGTTGATGGCCAAAGAGGTTTTTAAGATTGTAAATATTTTATCACCTGCATATATTCAAGATCTTATCATGCTTAAAAATGTTTATTATAATCTCAGGAAAGAAACACCACCAGGTTTGGCTTGAAGTCCTTCCGCTTTGAGGCAGTCAGGGTGTGGAACAGTCTACCTACTGAGCTCAGGACAGCTCGTTCTTTCCCGTTTTTTCCAGGCTGCTCGGCACCCTGGGTGACTAAGTCTGCAACTGCTCCTTATGTTCACGCTATTTTGTCACTGCTCAATTATATATCAATAGTTTTCTTACATATTTCTCATACTATATGTTGTTACATAATTTCGCTATGGTGCTTGCTTGCTATGTATAGCGTGCTTGTGGTGCTTGCTTGCTATGTATAGCGTGCTTGAGGTGCTTGCTTGCTATGTATAGCGTGCTTGAGGTGCTTGCTTGCTATGTATAGCGTGCTTGAGGTGCTTGCTTGCTATGTATAGCGTGCTTGAGGTGCTTGCTTGCTATGTATAGCGTGCTTGAGGTGCTTGCTTGCTATGTATAGCGTGCTTGAGGTGCTTGCTTGCTATATATAGCGTGCTTGAGGTGCTTTGCAAGTCATATGCTTTGCTGGCATTACTTGCCAATTATATTAACCTTTAGTGCTTTTTCTTGTTGTGTAGTTTGCTGGTTGTGCTTTGAAGTCATTTGATTTGCTTGCAGTGCTATTTGCTGATGTTTTGGCTAACTGCTAGCATTCGGTTTGTTATATAATTTGCTTGTAGTGCTTAACTCGTTATAATAATTATAATGTGTTTGTTATGTAATTCGTTTTGTAGTGCTTGCTTGTTGTATAATTATTCGAAATATCTAGTCTAATTGTCATCATATGTTTTCAGTATTCCTCTTAACATTATCTTTACTATTCCTTTATCGTGCTCCATACACTCTGTATGTATTTTTAGATTGTACTATATAAGTGCTTATTCGGTAAATTGTTAAACCTTGCTATATTAGCATATATATACAGCCATGTACTTTTAGTTACTCAACAGATTTGCATGATTTTTGTGCTTGCTCGTATCTATGTACTTTTAACTAATATGTTTTAACAAATACTCTCATACATATAGCTATAGTAGATCTAAGTCTATTGCTATCCGTCTTCGTGCGTCGTGCGTCATTCGTCGTTCGTTAATATTTTACATTTTCAACTTAAGCTGAAATACAGTCAAAGGTATTTCATCGATACTACATGGTAATGTTACCGACAACTCCCTGACCAAGTGTTGTTATTTTTCGGGTCGATCAGAAGTCCAATATGGCCGCCACGGCAGCCATTTTGAAAAACTAGTACAAACTTAAAGTCAAGTTCTACGGGGCCGATTTAACTGAAACTTGGTAGGAATGATCAACTCATGGTCCTGACAAAGTGTTGTTATTTTTCGGGTCGATCAGAAATCCAATATGGCCACCGTTTTGAAAAACTATTTAAAACTTAAAGTCAAGTTCTACTGGGCTCATTTAACCGAAACTTGGTAGGAATGATCAACTCATGGTCCTGGCAAAATAGTTTTTTTTAAGGTCCATCAAAAATCCAATATGGCCGCCATGGCTGCCATTTTGGAAAAAAACCTATTTAAAACTTAAAATCAAGTTCTAATAGGTCGAATTAACTAGAACTTGCTCTAGGAATGATCAACTCATTGTCCTGACAAACTGAACTTAAAGTTATACTTTTTTATACTCAAATTTTGGTAGGGATGATTGACACAACAAAAATTAATACTGTAGGATTCAGGTGACCGTTAAGGCCCATGGCCCTCTTGTTATATATGTTTTGTAACCTGCTGTTATATTTTTTCTTATGTTTTGTCGTATTTATAGCTCTTCAGAGCTAATGTTTCTGTTTTCATGTATACAAATATAAATAAAATTCTATATCTTGTATCTTGAAAGCATTATTTAACCGAAAAAGGTTTGTCTGTCAAATAATCCGCGATTTAGTCAGTTCCTTTACTTCCGGTTTAGGATTTGTTTTGGTCGCGCACATGTTGCAGAGAAAATCAACAACATATATTTCAAGGTATGAATGAGGCAAAGCCGTTAAAAATCTGATCTATTATTGGCCAACGTCTTAAACTTTAATATGATAATGAAATAAAAGTGGCCGATAATGAAATCAGACATGGGCCAGCATTAATTCCTTTAGGAACTCTTCTTCTTCTTCCTCTTCTTACACATAATTCATGAATTGCCTCCTTCGTCTTAGCGAAGATTATGCAATGTTTATGATACACAATGCGCAGGTGAACACATAATTGAAAAGTTTAGTTTGTAAAAGTTAAAAAGTAAAAACACTGATGTAGTGTCAGACGTTTAAAGCTTGTTGATTCGACCCACCAGCCTTAAGCCTAGTGAGTTCGGGGTCTGTTAGAAGTTTTAGCTTTTTTACTTTTAGTTCCAATTCGTTGAGAGTTTTCTTAAAGGTTTCCAAGTTTGCCGAATTCACAGTTTTTGAGTCAAGTTCGTTCCAGTCTTTTTTTGTTCGAGGGAAGAATGAATATTTTCTTGGGTCTATTTTACATGCCCGAATTTGGTAGGACCGATCGTGTTGTTTTCTGGACCTCCTCATTGGTTAGTCCGAATTATTCTGACGTTTTATCGTCTTTTTTCATATCGGTCTGTCGTCGTCGGTTAATCGACGACAGCCCGATATGAAAAAAGTCGATAAAACGTCAGAATAATTCGGACTACTCATTGGTGGGTCGATTCGGTTTTCCTTTTTGATGGCTATTTGCTGTTAGCAATTTTAAACATCATATGGAGTCTTGAGTGACGTTTTCTTCACTGCCAGTTTGGAGTGAAATCCAGCCTAGGCGTTGGATCATTAATGAAACGCTTGAACGGTTTCTGTGGCTGTTCATGATAAATCTGGCTGCTCTCCTTTGGACCGATTCAAGTTTGTTGATGTTTATTTGGGTGTAGGGGTCCCATACTGAGCTCGAGTACTCAACCAATGGTCTGACAAGTGCTTTGTAGGCAAGCTCTTTGATTTTTATTAAAGATATTTTCAAGTTCCTGCTCAGAAATCCAAGGTGATGTTATCTATGTGGAGGTCCCAGCTTAGCTTGCTTGATATTGTAAGTCCAAGATATTTTTCTGATGTAACTGCTTCCAGAATGTGGCCATGGAGAGTGTAATTATGTTTTGTCGTCTGCTTTTTGTTAGAGATGGTTAGCACTGTGCATTTATTTGGGTGGAACATCATGCACCAGTCTTCTTCCCACTTCTTGAGTTTGTCCAGATCTTTTTTGAGTATTTCGGCATCAGAGATTTCTATCGTTATAAATCTCTGATTTAGATACTGTAGAGTTCCTACAGGAATTAGGGCCAGCATATGCTCATCATTGATATTTTAGGGACGTCAAAATTCTTAACAATTGTTATAATATGCATAGTGCATCCATGAATACACGAATCTTTAGTACTAGATTTACCAGGTTAATGCGTCCATCTAAGAGTCAGACTTGTTGCAATTTTCATCTACTGTTGCACAATAATGCATTAACAGAAGGGTTCTAAGTATAACTTTCTTTTCACTGAGTCTGAATGGATACTGTTCTGCCCCCATGCAGTTTGCTTGTCATTTACAGTTCAATTTAGACATCTTATTTGGATACATTTTGTTACAAGATTACATTAGAATGATTCGTTTAAATATGGAACTATTTATTATATTTAAAACCTCCCTAGAAATGTCTTTGAAATTACATTCAAAACTGGCACTATTGGAATCTTGTGGCTCAAAAAACAAAATCATTTACAGACACATCCTGAAATTAATAGTTTCCGTGTATCATCAGTTTCACTCACATTTATTTCACCAGTATTTGTGAACTTTTGACAGTTAATTAGTCACTAGTGACTGACAACCACATTTATTTCTTCAGCATGGTGCTTTTGTTCTGTTACATATATATACATATATTCTTATTATTTTCAGGTGGCCAGCTAGCAGTGTCTGAACTGCTTCAGGGTGTCGTGAGGTGGAGCAACTGAGATGGACACTATGGCAGATACATCAGAGCTTTCGGAAATGTTGTCTCAGCTTAAGTTAGCGAGAATGTCCGAGTTATCTCAAAAGGACATCTACGTATTAGACCTAGCTGTGCAACACAGGTGATTGTCTTGGGGCGGTATCAGTCAAGTTGAATGTCTGCAAGTTAACATACAATAAGCATATAAATGCAATCCAGTTAAATTTTTAATCTTTAAAAACACTGAATTTTACATTGTTGTTTGGAAATTAAATTGATATGTCATTGTTGAATTTTTAGGTACATGCATAACAGGTAATGATAAAGGATGAAAAAATGTTTGAGATTATCTTATCCAAAGATAAAGTTTACATTTGTTTTTTCGTTTCAGTGATTCCTCTGAAAAACTTTTGGCTGCAACCAGTAGTAACCATACCATCCGACTGTTTAACTACGGTAGCGGTACATTGAAGGGTACACAGCATGTCACTGGTGAGGACTTGTCTTTCTTGTAACTCCAGTTTCCTTTTGTGACATCATAATGGACCCTAAACAATTCTTACTGTAGTCTCAGAAAGATTTGTCATTTGGCTGTTCTTGGAAAATAAAAAACAACACTCATGTCCGTCCTAAGTGTACCAGTCGAGCATGTAGGTAATTGAAATAAAAATAAGATAAAACTTTTACGTCATTTGAAGGTCGTTGACTTCCAAACATTTATAGATGTGATAAGATTGAATTTTAAATTAATTTGGTGTAAACGACTTAAAAATAGTCAAATTCCTCTTTTCAGTTAAAAAAAATATACCGGTAAGCAGTTTGTCATTTTGTTGAGTTGCCTCCCCTTGTACCTTGTAGCACACATCATTTTTAGGTCACCTGAGCTTTGCTCAAGTGACCTATTCCAATCGCTTTTCGTCCGTCGTCGTCCGTCGTCCGTCGTGCGTCGTGCGTAAACTTTTACATTTTCAACTTCTTCTCAAGAACCAGTGGATGGATTTTTTTCAAACTTGGTCAGAATCATCCTTGGTAGATGAGGCTTCAAAATTGTAAAATTGGGATTCTTACCCCAACCCCTGGGGCCAGGGCGGGGCCCCAAAGGGAAAATTA